ATGTGCATGTTTGGGAGAGATGAACCTGTGAAAGAGTTTGTAAGAGGCACCATCAATGTATGGGTATGTCTAGACTACAGGGTTTTGTCGACAGAAGTTTTGTCAACAGATACTGTCGACAAAGCTTCTGTCGACAAAGAGCGTCTAGACTGCAGCCAGTTCTGTCGACAAAGCAAGCCGCTTTGTCGACATAATAGTGTGGACGCAAAGAACAGTGTAGATGCAATAATGCCTTCTGTCGACAGAACTCTGTCAACAAAAGGTGTTATTCCTCGTAGAATGAGGTTTACATACATCGACAAAACTGCTGAGTTTTGTCGACGTTATGTCGACATAACTCAAAGGCAGTGTGGACGCAGGTATAGTTTTGTCGACAAAAGTCCTCTTTTGTTGACAAAACCCTGTAGTCTAGACACACCCTATATGTACTCTTTGAAAATAATATATATATTTAGAAGCACTGTCCCATAAACAGTTTCCATCTGTTCTTTTCATTGTTTAATTTCCTTTTGAAGTGCCGATGTCAGCAGATATTTTTAAGACAGTGTTTTGAAGCAACTGCCTGCTATGTATACATGTGCATAGACTTTAAGCCTGGGCTGCTGCTTCCCCAGAAAGACAAGAGTAGTGGCTACTCCTGAACCCTTTATGAACCCGTAAAAGACAAGGGCTATGTCTAGACTGCAAGCCTCTTTCGAAAGAGAGCATCTAGACTGCACGCGGAATTTCGAAAAAGCAAGCCGCTTTTTCGAAAGAAAGCACCCAGTGAGTCTGGATGCTCTCTTTCTAAAAAGCCTGTTTGCTTTCAAGAACGCCTTCTTTCGAAAGAGCACTTTCGAAAGAAGGCGTTCTTCCTCGTGGAATTAGGTTTACCACCGTCAAAAGAAAAGCCGCATTCTTTCGATTTAATTTCGAAAGAACGCGGCTGCAGTCTAGACGCAGGTGAAGTTTTTTCGAAAAAAGGGTACTTTTTTCGAAAAAACCCCTGAGTCTGGACACAGCCAAGGAGCCTCTTCCTTTGAAGAGGAGTCTCTTTCCAGCCTAGGATGGGCAGAGAAGAATGAGGAAATTTGGATGTCTAATAAATCCTGTGTGATGAGAGCATGGGGTGTTATTGTGGCTCTCAACTGTCCCCTAAATAGTACTGGGGGAAGAATGTGGCCTACAAATTGCTAGTGTGGAAGAAATGCAATTTACCCATGATTTATTATTAAGTATTATTATTGTTTTAGAGAAAAATGCTAAAACAGTGTGCCAAGTCACGTGTCAGGCACCTTTGACATGATTTAGGAATCCACCCTTTGGGCAATGCTACAACTGAAGAAGTAATTAATGGCAACACTTAATAATGAAATTGCAATGTTGTAACCTTACTTGCATTCATGTTTCTTACACAGACTGCTGCAGCTGCTGCAGTGCTGGCCCTAGACATAGGGGCTACGTCTAGACTGGCATGATATTGTGGAAATACTTTTAACGGAAAAGCTTTTCCGTTAAAAGTATTTCCGCAAAAGTGCGTCTAGATTGGTCCCGGAGTTATCGTTATAACGATGCGCTTTTGCGCAAAAGCACATCTACATTGGCGGGACGCTTTTGCGCACAATCTTGCCAGTCTAGACGCACCCAGAGGGTGAGGGCAGCTGCTCAGGGCAATGTGTGGAAGGGGGCATATATGAATAGTCTCACATGACCTTACCTGGGGCCAGCCAGCTAAGCGGGGAAACACAGCAGCCAGCTCTGCCAGGTCAGGGAGGACAGAGGCACTCCCTCACTTGTCTAAGGTATCTGGTCTGCTCTGGTGGGAGCATAGCAGGGTTGGGTGCCCTATTCTCCCCAGGACAGAGGGACCCCTGTAGAAGCCATGTGGGGAGTAGGTGAGGCAGGCTGTGCTGGAAGAGGATTGGGGTAGGTGACTGAGTTTGGTGGGGTTTAAAGGAGGGTGTGTGTGTGTGTGTGTGTGTGTGTGTGTGCAGCCAGCCTGTCATCCCATCCCATCCCTTCCCTGTAGAGAGGTGACACATAGGGGGACATGAATTGCACTGGGTCACGTTATCCCCCCACCCATTTTTCTGCTAGCGTATGCCTTCCCAGCTCTTTTCCCCTCTCCTGCTGGCTGGAA